AACAACAGTAAGCAGCCTATAATAATACAGCATTAAAAATGCATACGAAACAAAGAAATTGATTAAGAACTGAGCACCTAAAGCAAAAGAAATAACAAGTTAATGCGTTAACATGTTAATTGAAACCATGAAGTAAAGAAGATTACAAATGAAGAAGCAACCTTAAAGGAATGGCGTGTTAATTAAACACGCCTAGAAGATCGGCAGATGCTGTTTTCAGATACGAAGCACCGTGGTGATGAACTGTGTCCTGAAACTTTACTCAAAATAAAATATAAAAATCGTTAATTTACGTTAATTTTACACGGAAACAAACATTATCCATAACAGAAAAACAGTTGATTTTGTCTACAAAAATATCAACAAGAGGAACAGCATCGAGACGCTGTCGTTGCGAATAAAATGTTCTGAAATTTTAACTGTTTGATACTGAATTGCAGTCATGAGGAAAATCTGACTGAATAAATCGACTACAAGAAAGATTTTAGAATTTTATCTCTATATTTTTCAGTTTATTAGAATCTGTCAAATTAAAGTTATTCCATGCCATAGAAAAATGCTCACACTTTGGCAGAATTAAAGAATTATATACAATTTCAGATTATCAGTGGAATATATTTAGTCAACATGAAGATAAAAATGCAGTTTATTAAATACGTGACACCAAAGTTTTTTTTTTTTTTTTTTTTTTTTTTTTTTTTTTTTTTTTTTTTTTTTTTTTTTTTTTTTTTTTTTTTTTTTTTTTTTTTTTTTTTTTTTTTTTTTTTTTTAAAAAATTAGTTCATACAATTACAACATCACCAACAAAGCAATTAAAATGAATACAGTCAGTTTTACAAGCAAAAGAAACTACATTGGTTTTAAGAGTATTAATTTTCATACAATTTATCACTTTTACGGCGAATCGATATTATATTCCCCCCCCCCTTGGCACTACAGCCCCAGTGGGCCTAGGCCTACCTCTATGAACTTCTCCGTTCACTTCGGTTTTTCTAGATCTTACACATTCGGTAGGACTCCTTGGGCGGGTGATCAGCTCGTCGCAAGGCCTCTACCTGTAGACAAACACAGAAAATCGCACACAAACATCCATGCCCTGAGTGGGATTCGAACCCACGATCCCGGTTTCCAAGCGAGCGAAGACAGTACATGTCGAACTACATGTATTGCGTAAACAAAATTAATCGTAAGATAAATTGATGCATGTCATAAAGTGTAGACACCTCTCAGTTTTGCAACTCTTATTTGAAATACTTTTATATATGGTGCTTATTTAACGAACTACAACGCAAAGCAAATTCTGATTCAACTCAGTGTGTAACTTATGTCTCCCAGCGACAGGGTGGTCCAGCTATACCCCCACTATCGAGTTCTCTTTTCGTCGGCTTCTATGGCTCGTGAGGTTATGGTGGAGTTATTGTAGCTCCATCTACGCGGGGAACAGTAGATGGATGGGCCTATAGAATAACAATTAAATTTAAAGCTGTGGATTTCAATGTGGAGTCTATATGTTACATCGAGCAATTTTTTTTCGGCGAACGGTTTATTTTTGAACTATTGATTCTTTTCAGTTCCATGTATAGTAGATATTAAACCCGACCAACAAGGAACAAATTCCGTATGTAATCGAAAACCATTAGGCAATTTCAGAGACGAACATTGTGAAATATTTCCTTTGACGAAACAACCAAACAAGTTGGCTCAAACGGTAACGCTTGTATCTTGTATGCCGGAAGACGCCTGCCTCGAATCTTGGCTATGCCATCGCCTGTCCTGAGACTTTTCGTGTCTTTCTCTGTCCTTCAAGCAAATACCGGAAGTAACTGAAATCAGGCTACAACCGCTTCCTTCCACATCCTTTCTACTTCATTATTCACTACGATTATATCATTCAACGCTATATAATCTGACCTGCTAACATAAATCATGCCGGTGACGGTAGCCGAGCGGTCTAAGACATGCACCGTCTTCGCTCGCTTGGAAACCGGGATCGTGGGGTCGAATCCCACTCAGGGCATGGATGTTTAGTTTGTGTGTGTGCGTTTTTCTGTGTTTGTGTACAGGTAGAGGCCTTGTGACGAGCTGATCACCCGCCCAAGGAGTCCTACCGAATGTGTATGATCTAGAAAAACCGAAGTGAACGGAGAAGTTCATGGAGGTAGGCCGAGGCCCACTGGGGCTGTAGTGCCAAGGGAAAAAACAATATTATTACATAAATCATAAAACAAAAAACAAACAAAAACGAACTCCGTGGCTCGAGTCCGCAAGCGAACTATACCGACCGAGCGACGGCCGCGTGTCGGAGAAGTTAGTGCCAACTTTTTGCGGTTAGAGAGTGTCGCGTGGTCAGCGTAAAGGATCCCCACGGGCGTTAATTTAGGTAGAGTAGACCGGAGCCGCTATTTCCTTGAAATAGCTCCTCAGTTATCCTCACGAGGTTGAATGGACCCCGTTCCAGAACCATTACTTTTCAGGAAATCTGGTAGCGCCGGGAATCGAACCCTGGACCTCTGGATCTGCAGACAGGAACTCTGACCACTAGACAACAACCATTGGTAATAAAAAATACTACTTTCTGCTGTGTGATACTGTATAATCTGGTAGAAGTCTACCGACGTTTCGNACTTTTCAGGAAATCTGGTAGCGCCGGGAATCGAACCCTGGACCTCTGGATCTGCAGACAGGAACTCTGACCACTAGACAACAACCATTGGTAATAAAAAATACTACTTTCTGCTGTGTGATACTGTATAATATGGTAAAAGTTTACCGACGTTTCAGAAGAACGTACTGCTTACATATTCAGGGCTGAAAAGGAATCCAAGAAAGCACCAAGAAAACAGCAAGCTGCAAGCAACTTTGCCTGGGTCACTCTTTCATCGTGAAGACGAAGTGACCGCTTTCCGCAGAAACTTTGGTAACATTCTATCAAACTATGCGACATCACGTCCGAAAAGACAGCAATGAGAGCCTCAAATCAAACAGACCCATGAAGAGAACTATAAATTTCTTCAAGAAAACACAGTAACGCCTGCAGAGTGGCAGGTAGACTACCTCCTAAGGGATGTGAACGAGAAGTTGCATACACTGCATGGCGTGACTCGCGTCAGGAAGGGATGCTGGAAGAGAAATCCGAACATATAAAAAGGATCTCCTTTAAGAAGTTGACAGAATATTTTAAAGAAGAACGTATCTCGCCTCTGACCCCTTGTAGTTCACGTAAAGGTTCTTACAGTTCACGACTTTGAAATCTAACATTCCCATGTCCGTATTCAAAATGAAGCTGTCCTTCTGTCACTGCCCACTGAATTTACTGTGCGTTTCTCGCAACATTTGTCTCTCTTTAGTTTATATTGTGAGCACGGAAAACTAAGCTTATAGTATTATCATGTCTGTGTGTCTAATCTTATAAATCTGAAGGAATTTCATGAAATTAGGCATGAATGCCATACCAGTAAATGTGGCACACTTCTTTAACTTCTGAATCAGTATCGCTAATAATGGTGACCTTCCGAATATTTGGGATAAGAGCGGTTCGTGGTGATAACTAACGAACAAACGGAGCCATGGCTGTGTTCCAAAAGGTACAACACAAATAAAATATGAGAAGTCCTTTTCAGCATTATTAATAATGTTACGTGTCCTGGTAACGCGCCCGGAAGTTAATGGGTTCAGGAACAGATGAAGCGATTTATTGGAGAAGTTGTTTATATTTAAAATTGTAATTACTCAAAAATAACGCCTTCCACACGAAGCAACCGGACTAGTCTGCAGTCTCTCGAATTTCATCTTCACTCCGCTGTTCTGTCTTCAATTGTTATTCTTTCTTCCACTTCTGTCTTAGTTCTTAGCTCTGCTGGTTTCTCCTTCTCCCAGCTCTGATCTGTTCGCCTCTATCCTGTTCTTCGCTTCTGAACTCTCCTCTCACTTCTGTCCTTAGTCTGGCCTCTTTCATAACTGCTTGGCGGACCGACTAGGGCATACTGAACCGAAAAGTTAATCCATCCGTTGTCATGAAAACGTTCCTTTTGTTGTGAGAATAAACATTTAATGGCCGTTGTCATGAAAATGTCGCTTCTGTTGTGCAGGAAACGTGGCTACCGGGCAATGGACGCCAGCTCTGACTCAGATATTCTGGCTTTTAGGCAACGTGCCACATTAATATATCGTGATGGAGGGATATGTAAACACTGGGCACGTCAATGGCTGTATCGCGGTAGCTTAGCTACTCGTAGAATTTCTCTTGCCGGATAAGCGGAGAAGTAGAAACCATACGATAAAGAACCATCTGGTTGGGGGTGCGCAATATGCTGGTAACCTCCTCACTTAAGAATTTAATGTTAATATATTTCACATAGAAAATTGGTATAATGGGTCTCCACGGCCTCTTGCAGGAATAGCTTTACCTTTTATTTGACGTCGGAAGAGACTTAACTGCCTATACAAAGAAGCGAATAAAATACAAAAGCAACACCCATTTGAAAATTTAGGTAAGAAAGTAAATCATAAATAATCAAACAAATTATGTAATTTTGAAACATATTTCACATGTTAAAAATATAAACATGGCGGCGGTGGGAATCTTTTAAATTCTGATAGATTTAACAGACAGCATCGTGTATGTCCTAGTAGGTTGCCAAATTTCCCGATCACAGTGGCCTTGGGGTTTAAGGCATGAACCATCTTCGCTAGCACGAACACTGGGATCGTGGTTTCGAAACCCACTCAAGGCATGGATATCTGTCTGCGTTCATTCTGTGCTTGTGTTGTTCTGTGTGTATGTAGCAGCCCTGCGACGGGCTGATCTCCCGTCCAAGGAGTCCTACAGACTGTGTATTGGAATAAGAAACTGAAAAAGTGGCCAAGGTCCCAGGGCTGTAGGGTCATATGTAGATAGATAAGTTACTAATTTGTACAGTCATGCTCTCGCTGTGCATGCTGTGTCTGTACATTTAGGCACCTGAAGATAAGTGCCCATAATGAGTTCTTGCTGTTCGCAGGCTACCTGGAGCAGGGGCTGCTTGAGCGGGACGCCCGCAAGTTGAGGATGCACTACCTGAAGTCCAGGAAATGGCGCTCCGACGTGTTGAGTCTGCTGCCTACGGACCTGGCATATATATGGTGGTCCCCCGTCTCCTCTCAGATCCGTGTTCCCAGCCCCGTCATAGTGAGGTTTAACCGTCTGATCCGCTTCCCTCGTATGAGTGAATTCTTCGACCGCACAGAGACTCGAACTGGATATCCCAACGTCTTTCGTATCTGCAAGGTACGTTGTGTCTGTCAAGAACTGAAATCACTTGTTGTCAACGTATTCCTATTTAAGGTTCTAAAGGATTAAACCTCAAGTACTTTAACTATGACGGAATAAAACAAGAAAACATTCCTATGCCTGAAATCCATATAAAGAACATTTAAAATATTATGAACAGGAGAGCGATTAATGGGAGCACGTGAATTGCCAAATAGTAGCGTGTTCCATAAGAGTAACTCAGATAGTGAAGAGTTCTCTCTTCTTGGATGTAGTATTTGTTTTAGTTTCTTGGGGTGGGGTGAGACTGAGTCCACTTGGCACGCCGGCCACTAATTCACCTGTTGTACCAGCACCGGATGATAGATGATGATTGTGGAGCAGTCGGTGGAGTGAGAATTGACATGCGAAACCGAAGTACTTGGAGGAAACCTGCCCCAGTGCCACTTTGTCCACCACAAATCCCACATGACTTGACGTGAGCTCGAATCCTGGCCGCCGCCTTGGGAAGCCGGCGACTAACCGCCTGAGCCATGGCACGGCCTTCTTGGTTGTAATGCCGTGTAGTCTGTTGAAAGACAACTACTGTTGTGAGGACATAAAATTCTAAGGACCAGATACTCATTTTAAATTAAAAAATTGTGATTTTCATAATTTTTGCCCTTCATTAAATACCCATATTTTTATGCCAAGTGCATCAATTAGGATGAACTCATGGGAAATATGACGCGCATTGTATATACAAAAATTCTTGGTGGAGAGCGCACATTATTTTCAGTATATTACGAAGTAACGTAGCTTCGATATCTTCAGAGCTATTTCAGTTAAGTTCTCACACTAAAAATCGCAGTAAGGTTGATGTTTGTCTTAGTACTCTTAATTTCTGGCAACGCGGTGGCTCCATGTATATATTGTCACGTTACGGAGTGACTATAGAAGGGTTTGGATTGGATGAATTGGATTTATTGATATCTTATATAGACAACGCGTAACTACAATAATACAATGCTATCGCTTATCTGCACAATTTACAGTTCAACATTACATACACATTAGGGTTTTAAATCTTCACTGGTCGTATCCTGGCAACGGATTTATAGTAGTTTCACTGTCATTTAAAATCACATATGAAGTCTTCTTTTCTCAGACTAATTCCCTCCTTACCATTATTCTGTAATTGCCAATTCCAAAAACTATACTAGATTCAATTCCTCTGCTCCCAGGCTCATATACTGGCAGGCTGGCGTCTCGAAACTCGACTCTATTCTTCTCAACCTAACTCTTCTTTATAACTACTTTGCATGGACCACGCAGAAAATACAATCTCTCTATTGTTGGGAAGGAGTGTTTACAGTTCTGATTCATAACAACGAATGTTACTCAATTGTTACTTACGTATTCGTTGCCGCGGGAATGTGTTTACCGAGCCGTTGCCTAGCAATGAATATCTAATCTTAATTCACTATTTCGGCTTTCATGTGTCATATTACCGTATTTATGTGCAAGTACAATGTAACTATTTAACGTCCTGACTTATTAGACCGTTTTCTTTCCCCACTCTTTCCAATTCACCTTTCACAAACAGCCTACTGTGCACTTGGAAAATTGTTGGATAAAGCAGAAAGCCAATTAAACATAAAAAATAAACTGTATTTAATAACCGAAATCTTACTTGCTAACCGCCTCTGTGGTCTAGTGAACAGAGTTCCTGGCTACGGATCCAGAGGTCCCAGGTTCAATTTCCAGATATTCTGAGAAGTAGTGGGTCTGGAACGGGGTCCACTCAGCCTCGTGAGGATAAATGAGGAGCTATATGAATGGAAAAGTAGCGGCTCCGGTCTACACTACCTAAATTAACGGCCATGGGGATCCGTTGCGCTGACCACGCGACAACATCTATCCGCTAAAGTTGGCACTAACTTCACCGACAAGCGGCGGTCGTTCGGTCGGTATAGTTCGCTTGCGGTCTAAAGCCACGGAGTTTTTTATCTTACTTGCTAGAAGATATGCTACATTCCTTATTATGAATATCAGTCGGCTAAAGTTACTTAGAGGAATATTTGAGGAATTCTGTTAAACTTACAAATTTATTTTTTCAGAGAAATTTTCTGGGTAGGTATTTAATCCTTTAAAAAATTAAGGCGATTGAAACAATATATGTGCTTAACTACATATCTGTAACACGTAAAGTTGTCCCTGTACTTAATTAATTGTGCATTATGTCTTGAAGATATAGGGGGGAGTGTAGGTACATCTCAACTGTTCTTGACCTCGGTACTAGGATGGGAGTAACAGAAGCTAATTCGACTAATGACTTCCATCCTCGTGACATATATGATTACCACAGTGTATTACAGCATTAATTTGAGTGGTGTGTGTATGTGTGCAGGTTGTGTTGGCAATCCTGGTGCTAATCCATTGGAACGCGTGTTTCTACTTCGCTATCAGCTACGTCATAGGGTTCGGGTCGGACAACTGGGTGTACAACATCAACGGAGGACGAAACAGCACTCTTTCCAGACAGTATATCTACAGCTTCTACTGGTCTACACTAACCCTCACCACCATAGGTAGGTAAAACTAAAGGAAATGCCTACGTACAGGTGCCTCGAAACTAATATTGGCAGCACTGGGAAAGATGGCGGATATGTCTCTAATTTGCACCTGTTAATCTTCTGAGCAGTGACAACGCTATGAGATTCGGGATTACTGGGTTTTTGGACATCACCCATCGTCATGTATTCTACAGAATACGAAGTTTCCGGAACTGCGTCTCTTTTCGTCCTCAGGTGGAGGAATAGGAGACACTCCGTTTGGTCCGTGGCCGTACCGTAAATCAGGCGGTTAGTCGCTGGATTCCTAACGCAGTGACCCGGATTCGAGCCCAGGTCAGGTCATGTGGGATTTGTGGTGAACAAAGTGGCACTGGGGCAGGTATCCTCCGAGTACTTCGGTTTCTCCTGCCAATTCTCATTCCATCGACTGCTCCATATTCATCATCATCTATCGTCCGGGGCTGGTACAATAGTCCAATTAGTGGCCGACGTACCAAGTGGACTCAGTCTCACCGCACGTCAAAAAACTAAAAAAGAAAAAAAATCTTTGGTCCAATAGACAGAGCTAACCTCAGTCAATGGAACGCTGGTTAACTGTTTCGAAAGGACCCAACAGATTAGGTGTCTCGCACCTACTCACCTGAGGATGGAAACAGATACAGTTTCCGAAACGTCGTGCTCTTTATAATACCGTGAAATTGAGAAATTCTGAAAACCTAGTAATTATGAGCGTTGTTCACCATTGTCAGAACCCTTTAGAATATACTGTGAAATGTTAAATGCGGATGGTGCACTGATTTATGTTGTCAGCAGGTGTGACAATGACGAAAATGACGAAAGAATGACAGCTCAGTACAGCCATAAATACACGTATATGGGGCAGAGGGAACTTTCCGAGGGATTTAGTTGCTGATGGGCTCTCTGTGAGGCCACAGACTGTAGCATTACGTACCCGGAACAGCTGAGCGACCGGCATTGGTGAAACTGCGTTTTAAATGAGCAGGCATGGGAATAAGGTGTGCAAGAACGTCTTAAGGTCCAACCGAAAATATTTTATTCATCAGTAAACTTGGGACTGTTGGTTCAAACGCATTAAAAAGCATGGAGATTACGTTAAAAATAAGTAAGACATGTTTAACAAATGTGGTTGTTTCATAAAAAACGCATAAAAGTGTCATTTAATGTTCGATTTACTTTCTTATAAACATATTATGAATCTGTGAAAACAAATGAGTGTGAGAATCGTAGTCTTCTGGAAGGTGACGCCGTGTAGTTTGGTAGATATGTACCAACGTTTCGTAGGACAACTTCTGAAGAGAGATGCAATGCATTTCTCTGAAACGTTGATAACTGTCTACCAAACTACACGGCGCCACTTCTCAGAAGACCGTGATCCTAACATTTATTGCTACGAGAACCCTAGATCTCACAAAGTGAGTCAGATGCGTTACTGCTGGTCAAGACCTCTCAGTGTATTGTACTACATGTGAATATAGTCAATGCACGATACTGCTGGTTCTTTTATGTTGGTCATTAAATGATGCTGTCATTGTCGAGACCGTACAGCGTTGATGATAGGATGATTAATGAAACTGAATTAGTTGGTGAAATGAAAATTGGAAGGGAAGAAGGAAGAAATCGCAAAAAGAAGAATCAACCCCATTCGGCTGCGCCATAGCTCAAGCGGTTGGTCGCTGGCTTCCCACCGCGGCGGCCCGGGTTCGATCCCGGGGTCTGGTCAAGTGGGATTTGTAGTGGACAAAGTGGCGTTGGGGCAGGTTTTCTCCGAGTACTTCGGTTTCCCCTGCCAATCTTCATTCCACCAATTGCTCCACAATCACCCTCACCTATCATCTGGGGCTGGTACAATAGGCCAGAAGTGGCCGCAGTACAAGGGACTTAGTCCCACCCCACTAGCAATAAAAAAGATCAACCCGAGTGACGCGTTTTCCACCACAAACTCCACATGACCTGATGTTGGGATCGAATCCTGGCCGCTGCGTGATGCTACTGTTCAGTGAACTCTTCTGCGTGTAAATGCGCCATACTGCTGGTCAAATCATTTTATTTGTGCTTTATTTAACGTCACTCTCAGTGAGTAGACTGTACCGCGTCGAATGGATGGGTCATAAATCAGTGAAAATTTTGAAAGAATTCGGAAGGAAGTAGTCTTGGTCTAAACAAAATACATCCTGAAATTTGTCAGGAAGGGACTGGGGAAAACTACGAAGAACCTCAGTCAGAATAGCAGATGTTCCAGCCGAGATGAGAACCAAGTACTTCCCGAATATGGGTCCAAATGGTTACCGCCACGCCAACCCGCTCAGGACTGCAGGTCAATGCCCAGTACTTGTGGTCACGTGCTGCACTCACCATGCGTTTGTTGACAGGGGAGACGCCCCAACCTGAGAACGACGTGGAGTACCTGTTCGTAGTGGCCGACTTCCTGGCCGGCGTGCTAATCTTCGCTACAATTGTCGGTAACATAGGCAGTATGATCAGTAACATGAACGTGGCAAGAGTGGACTTCCAGAACCGAATGGACGGAGTCAAGCAGTACATGGCGTTTCGGCGTGTCTCCAGAGAATTGGAGGCCCGTGTCATTCGCTGGTTCTCCTATACGTGGGCCAACAAACAGGTAAGTTCTTTTCAACATCACTGAATCCTGTAGCTAGTTCTATCGATTGGGCCCAACTGAGTAGGTTTTACCTGAAGAAGGAGACAGAATCCAGTCTCCGAAACGTTGTGTTTTGAAAAAAACAGGACAGTGTTTTTAGATAGAGACAGGACGATGGATAATGTCAGAAAACATAATATTTTAATATGTATTGTTAGGGGCACGCGGTAGCGTAGTGGTTGAGGAGCTATGCTACAAGCCGGAAGGTCGCGGGTTCAAGTCCTGATGAGATCATTTGATTTTTTTTTCAGTTGACCTAATCCTTCCAGTCGCACTAGGCCCTGGGGCTTACTCAGCCTCTAACAGAAATGAGTACCAGGAATTAGTTAAATAATTTTCCTGGGGAGTAAAGCGCGGCCGGCGCAGGGCTGACAACCTTGCCGCCATCTTTGAGCCGATTGTCTAGATAATGTGGGACCCTCAACGTCTCACAACCCAAACGGGCCTTCAGGGCCTGGTACGGGGATAGCTTTACTTTATACTTATATGTATTGTTACACAGAAGTTGTTTTTAAGCGAGCCAGTTTCAAGAGAAACCATAAAATTCTACTCCATCTTCGCGTAGAATATGAGTTAGCCTATAAGGGACAAATCAACACAATTTCTCCCAACATCTTTCACTATAGACCCCCTTCCCACCACCAATACAAATTTAATCGAACTCCAGCAATAAGCTGACGAACGGAAGAGCGGATACGCAGGCCTTTATGCCTTCTATTCATGAACGAGTGTGAAGAGCTCAGTAGTGTCCTACATTTGGTAGGGAATGATGTTAAAGACTACTGTTTCAAGACAAACTTAGTTTGTATGTTTTACAGGCACTGGACGAGGAACGAGTACTGGCTGCGTTGCCTGACAAGCTGAAGGCTGAAATAGCTATCCACGTGCATCTGGATACTCTACGCCAAGTCCGCATCTTCCAAGACTGCGAGCCTGGGCTGTTGGAGGAACTCGTGCTGAAGCTGAGACTGCAGGTGAATAAGACCGCTTAGCACTTACAAAATGAACGCCAGCTGCGAGGTTTATTTCGCCACTGTGTGTACTAGACGAGTCAGAAGAAGAGACATTGAAACTAGAGCAGTATTATCGCTTAGAGACACGGTGATCTGCCACTGTAGATTTCATGTACAAAGAACGTGCTAAAACTTGACGGACAATCTTCTCATTGAGGACTATAAACTCAGGCATGAGTAAAACAGCAGACCTAGTTGCCATGACAACGCCTCATAACGCCGGATCGTTCCACGTTCTCCTAGTTGCCTGTTAAAGTATGGAAGGAATATTATCTGTATTTGTGTGAACATGACACTAAATGAGTGAATGATTTTTTTATGTTATTTAACTATTCTTTCTCTGTGTAATGTGTTACATCGCGTCGGACGGGAGAAGGGTCACGTGACAGGAAATGGGGAGGGAGTAGATTGAAGAGATTTGTATTCTGACTTAATTTAACTTTCCTGCCTCTGCATTTGCCTGCAGAGACAGAAAAACTTGTAACGATAGCCGGGCTTTTAGCCGAAAATTATAGCAGGGACCTTCTGACTAAAAAGGAGTGTGAATTACCCATCTGCAACGTTTGGTGTGTTACAAACACTCGCTTGATACGAATGCCCGTATTCATATTGTCAGGGGTTCCGTTACTAGTAATGAAGGGTTCTGGATTGGATGATTGGATTTATTGACGCCTTCCTTTACAATCACTCTTAATCACAATCAATTACAACAGCTCACAATCAGCTTACTGCCGAGGACTCGCTCCATTCCCGTCCTCAATTTTCTGTTTTCTTACAGCTTCAGAACTGAACAGAACTGACAGCGTTCTTTATAACCTCGGGAAGAACCGAATAGAGGTCACCACCTCCAGCAGTTCCTCTATTATTGTGTACTTATTCGTTGCTGCGGAACCTTCTTTAGCGAGCCGTTGTCTAGCAATGGACGTCTCTGCTGTGCTTCTCTGACTGCATACTTCCGGAGTTCGGGCGTCATGTCACAATATAATAAACTGCGGTTAACTTCGGATATTTCTTTCACTCTTCTTGTCAAATACCAAATGTAAATCAGAAATAAGCACACTGCTTACCGAGGTATCTCATGTGTGACATGGACAGGGTTAAACATAACTGTGTGAGGTGAGGGACGTCCAAAGCCGTAACACTCAACTGGTTTATCTGTAATATATTTCCAGGTTTTCAGCCCGGGGGACTACATCTGTCGGAAGGGGGATGTGGGGCGGGAGATGTACATTGTGAAGCGGGGGCGGCTGACTGTGGTGGCGGATGACGGGAGGACTGTGTTGGCTACTCTGGGGGCGGGCTCCGTGTTCGGGGAGGTGAGTGTGCTGGATATTGCGGGTAACAAGACAGGAAACCGCCGCACAGCCAACGTCCGCTCGCTTGGCTACTCGGACCTTTTCTGCCTGTCGAAACGAGACCTGTGGGAGGCGCTGTTCGACTACCCGGAGGCCAAGCACAGCCTCATGGAGCGAGGATGCCAACTGCTCAGGAAGGACGGCCTCCTGGACGAACAGGCCTTCACGAAGGCACAGGTGGAGCATGAAAACCTCACCGACAAAGTGGAACGCCTCGGTAAGTATATGTTTGAGGCAGAAAACTGTTTCTATAGCTAAAAAAATTAAATCATAAGTGATTTTCGGAAAACAAAATAAAACCCAATGTAACAGACATGGAGTTTACCTGCGAAGGAAATTCCTGTCGTAATAGGCGCTAAGCCCGACAGTCAACAAACTGAACGCACATGAAAAACTATTCGATGCACTACTGGGAGAGAAAATAAGGAAAATTTAAATATAGAATTTAGTAACTGTGTGTAGTCCACATTGAGCTGAATATGTAACAGGCTCAACACAGTTAACTTACTTATTTACTCATGGAGCTGAGCCCTTCTGGAGGAGCCGCCAAGTCTGCAGCTACTCAAGAATTTCACAGCATTTTATGGAACCCGAAGGTTCATCACCGTGTTCACAAGATCCCTCCACTGGTCCATATCCTGAGCCAGATCTATCCAATCCATACCATCCCAAACTATCTCTCTAAGATCCGTCCTAATATTGTCCACCCACCTACGCCTTGGTCTTCCCAGTGGTCTCTTTCCTTCTGGCTTTCCCACCAGTATCCTATACGCATTTCTCGTCTCCCCCATTCGTGCTACATGACCTGCCCACCTCATCCTCCTTGACTTTAACACAGTTAAACCTGTCGAAATAGATTCTGTATTACAAGAAAATCTGCCCTTACAGGAAGTAACAGGAAAATCTTAAGGCGGAAAAAGATAGAAAAACGGCAATTTAATGAAGCACACTCTTCTTGAAAATTCATTGTTCACATAATTTTATTTCTTTATGGTATTTAACGTACGGTTACGGTAGCCGAGCGGTCTAAGGCATGCATTGTCTTGGCTTCGTGGGTTCGAATCCCACTCAGGGCATAGATATTTAGTGTTTTGTGTGTGTGTGTGTGTGTGTGTGTGTGTGCGCACGCGTTTTTCCGTGTTTGTGTACAGGTAGAGGCCTTGTGACGAGCTGATCACCCGCCCAAGGAGTCCTACCGAATGTCTAAGATCTAGTTAAATCGAAATGACACGGAGAATTTCATGGAGGTAGGCCAAGGTCAAAATCGGAATGATAGGATGATAGTGAAGAACGAATTGGAGTTAATGTGGAAGGAAGCGACCGTGCCTTCATTTGACGTCCTGCCCCGGCACTTGTCTTGAGGGTCGACTGAGGAAAACCACGGACAACTTCGGCCAGATAAAGGATCTTTTAGGTGCAAATTTAAACCAGGGACCTCCGTTCTATAATATATAGACTTATATTCCGTGGCTTTTAGTCCGCAAGCGAACTATACCGACCGAGAGACCGCCGCTTGTCGACGAAGTTAATGCCAACTTTTGCGGATAGAGGGTGTCGCGTGGTCAGCGCAACGGATTCCCAAGGCCGTTAATTTCGGTTTTCTAGACAGGAGCCGCTACTTCTCCATTCAAGTAGCTCCTCAGTTATCCTCACGAGGCTCAGTGGAACCCGTTCCATACCCACTACTTTTCAGAAAATCTTGTGGCTCCGGGAATCGAACCCGGGACCTCTGGATATGTATATACAACACTTTACAATATTCATTCCGGAAGATTCATCGTGAATATAACTGTGTGTTACAAACGTCGCGAAACGGAGACCTCCTACACTGTCTCAGCTAGAGATACAAACTGATGATTGCAGAGAACACCCTGGAAAACCTGCAGACCCGGTTCGCACGTCTGCTGGCGGAGTGCTCGAGCCAACAGGCCAAGGTGAAGCAGAGGCTCACGAGAGTCGAGCAACAGACGCTGAGGTCGGTGGAGAGGCGGCGGGCGACGACTGGGTGAGTGCACAGTGTCTGCATGTCGCTCTGGTATCAAACTCTTTGACTTAAGGGTGAGGAGAAGCGGCCTCCGTAGTCTAGGGGTAACGTTCCCACCTCATGGCTCAAGGTACGCGGGTTCAAACCCGGCGGAGGTCGTGGAATTTTTAAGGGCGGAAAAATTCAGGGAACAAGTCCTCCGGGAGGGACTTTAAGCCGTGGGTCCCGTGTCGTAGATTTACGGCACGGTCTCTAGGAGACCTCTGAGCAAAATTAGGCAAGTTTCCCGCCCAAGTAGATGGGGGAAGCATCGGGTACCGAGGGCTGACATCGTTGGCTGAACGGGGCTGATAGCACGCACCAGTACCGGTAGGGTATGGGTGAGGAGAGAAAGAAAGAAAGAAAGAAAGAAATAAAGAAAGAAAATTCGTGTACTGACTCTGATTGACTGAGGTGGCTGCCTTCCTCGCCAACTGACTCAAAATTATCCGATCAACTGGGATGACTGATTGACTGGGCTGACCGGCTGTCTGCCTCACAGAATGACTAAATTGGAAAACTGGACTGGCTGGCTGAGTGCCTGACTTACAAACATGAGAGCTGACAATAGTGTGAAATTATAAACATACAGGAGGAAGTGTAGTAAAAAGAAAAATGAGGTGCTGGGAAAAGGATTCTGAGACCGTTGCAGGCACTGTATTGTATAATCAGTGAAGTAAAGATACTTACAATCTTGTTGGTAGGTTTCGATTAAATTTAATACTGGAGCTCAGATAGGTTATTAATTTTCTCATATTGACTAAACTTACAAAATTTCAATGCAATATAATTTTAGGAAATACAACGAAAAGTAACCTATGTCTCAATACAGCGCCATGTACATGCTGTCAATTCTTAGCCCTTTTGACTGTTGAGTTATGTACATGTTATGTATATGTATATGTATCTGCAGAGAATGAACATCCAGGGCAATAAGGTATGCAGAATCACATAGAAGGGAAAGGTAAAGATGTGCTCACCACTGGAGGGCATCTTCTCACCCTCACTGTTTACTGGTTTCTGAACAAGACATTCGTCACAAAACAGACGGCAACTCTGCCCACTTGTATATCTGTCATTTTCAGTTATTTTTTCAAAATTTAGAATTGAAATGATACGTTTCTCTCAAATGAATAATAATAATATTTTTTACTTCTAATTTTTTAATTCAGACTATCAGAAATTATAAGAACTGAGTCGAGGGCAACACTAGGGCTATTTTGATGTAGGGTCTCAAATTGGTTTAAAACTCCGTGACCTGTAGTCCGCAAGCGAACTATACCGACCGAGCTACCGCCGCTTGTCGGCGATGTTAGTGCCAAATTTTGCGGATAGAGGGTGTCACGTGTTCAGAGCAACGAATCCCAATGGCCGTTAATCTAGGTTTTTTGACTGGAGCCGCTCTTTCCTTGAAATAGCTCCTCAATTATCCTCACGAGGCTGAGTGGACCCCGTTCCAGACCCACTATTTATCAGAAAAACTGGTAGTGCCGGGACCTCTGGATCTGTAGCCAGGAACTCTGACCACTAGACCACAGATGCGGTAACAGAAATGTGCTAATCACGAATACTTTAATGGGTACTGTTGCGTGAAACGTAAGATAAGCGGCCTATTGAAGATAGATGCACCGTCTTAGCTCGGACCAAGACATTCTGGTATGGTAACAAGTCATAAATATGAGGTCAGTCAGGATCTATTAGCCAGTAAAGTGACTGGCCAGGGGCTGGAAAAATTGCCTTCGATTCGCGACAGCAGAAGGGACTTCTCGACGTGCCACGGCGTCCAGATCAGCTTTGGGGCCCTGCCAGCTTTCTGTCCTATACGTGTAAGGGGCTCTCACACAGGGGTGAAGCTCCCAGAGAGTGTAACTGACCATTCGCCCAAATCTAGTGGCAGGGTTAAGACAGGGTGGAGTTCAATAACTTACAAATACGTTTAAAAATTCGGCTATTCATCAAAATTACAAATTTTTAAAGTTCAGTCTAGAGGTATTCGATAAACATACCAAACAAAATCAATCGAACAATAATTTGAAACTGATATATTGGGTTTTTGGACTTTATCCATCATCCTGGTTTTTAAGATAACAAATAAAAACACGACCTTTCGGAAACTGGATCTATTTCCGTCCTCACGTGAAAGAAAACACCTATTCTGTTGGGTCCATTAGAAGGAGCTAGCCTCAATCACTGGGCAAACCGATGTCAAAAAACATGAAGATTATAAACACCTGAGACCAGGCTAAGTCCATGAGAGCTAATAAGAAAAATATTCATAACAAAATTTTGGAAACACATACAAGCGTGGAACCAGGATAGATAGATCTGCAGAAATTTATGCCATGAAACCAAACTCATAACCAGGTCCATGACCCCACGGCATGGAATAGAAATAAGAACTAGTAACAAAAACTATTTGTTATCTTAAAAACCAGGACGATGAATAAAGTCCAAAAACCCAATATATCAGTGTGTTATACACCATCGTCAGAATCCTATAGTAACTACTAATAATTTGAAACCATAGCTAGCCCTACCTAGACTAAGTTACAGACTAAACAGTAACTATAAACGGCAGTTAAAGGCAACGGTATTGTCAGACATAACTATCGCTTTGTTTTCCATATTTCCAGAGGAAGCTCAAGCCAGGAGAGCGGCGGGGAGAACTTCCGGCTGGTTAAAACAGAAGACGATGAGAGTCGACTGATGCGTAGATCCTTCCAGGGCCTGTCAAGAATAAGAAGACATAAGCAAAACACTATGTGAAGTACATAACCTATCCTGATGAAGGTGGCCTATAGAAAACAAGACTCGAAACTTTTCCATCCTAACATCAAGGACCATCCACGCTGTATAGTGAGTGATATGTGAGATTCGGGAGTGTCGTTATTAAACAAGTATTCAAATAAAACTTCGGAAGTGACACAAAGATTTAATTAAATTAATGGAAATAGGGGGAAACAGTAGTGCACAACTCTGACATGTTATACACAGTTTATAAAATTTATATATGCCACGAGACACAACGTTATGGGTTCTGTGTTTGTCTCTAATTCACACAGGAGAAAGTTTTTGTGTATCCTGCGCGTGCCGTCCACAGAAGAAGGCTACAACATCATGACTTGAGAATTTAGAGGACAATGGAAATGACTCGCTTTTGATATTGACTTCTAGGCGCAATGATAAAGTCTGCACCCAAATAAAAATATTTAAATTCTGCGTTTAACAGATGTTCTTTTCTCTTTACGCTATGGTCACGAATGAAGTATGACCAATTCGGCTTGATAAGTAATTTATGACATATTCTCAACTAATCTGGGCAGTTGGTACATGCCTGTGGCTGAGATCTGAGTTAATTGCGAAATTCTGCGTACACATAATAACACAATACAGAACAACGCGCGCGCGCACGCACACACACCCAAAACTCGGGCAAATTTAGAACCGGCAATCACTGAATTGGAGTGATCCAAGGAAGCAGGCATCTTAGCTCCTATAACTGACTGGCCTATTTAATGTTCAAGGATTTTTATGTCAGACTTTCTCTTCGGTTATAATAATATTTACGCGACTTCTTTGTACTGTGATTATCGCTACTAAATGTGATTTGAATTTGATTAGTTAATTTTGCAAATGCCATCAACATAATTTAATATTACAGTCGAATAATTTCTGGATCTACTTAGGCCGTTATAAGTAAAGTTATTTAAAAAAGAATATAACAATCCTTCACTTCCAAGGTGAATGATCGCCATCATCAACGATATTAAAGTATCACAGACAGAATAAACGGCACGTATGGCGGGCGTGGAATTAAATCTCACTTTCAGCTGTTAATACAGACGAATTTAATACATGTCGTAACACTCTGAGAAAACAAATCAGCATGTAAAACATGGTATTCGAATGAATTATGAGTGCCATTTTTCAGTTTATGCATGAAGAGTGCGAAGAATTGATGGTTATTTAATAGTTCTTAACCATGAAATTTTGCTCGCAAGATTCTCAAGTCCTCAGGCACTTCATAAAGGCCTCATCCAGTCCAAAATAAAACAACTGCTTGTTCCTATTTTAAAGAGATGCGCATTTATGATTGGTTGTAGACTGGAGGTTCCAGTGTATCAAACACAGGTCCTTACCTATACAATTTTATTACCAGTGCATTTTAAAACTTTGCCTATTCGAAGACAATTCATTGGACTTTGTTTTCAATTTTGCAAAGTTACGAAGGGGCACGCAGTAGCGTAGTCGGTGGAGGCATTATGCAACAAGTCGGAAGGTCGCGGGTTCAAATACCGATGAGGTAATTGGATTTTATTTTCAATTGTCCTAATTCTTCCAGCCGCCTTTAACAGAAATGAGTACCAGGAATGAATTAAAATAATTTTCCTAGGGAGCAAAGCGCGGCCGGCGCGTAGAGCTGACAACCTTACCGCCATCTTTGAGCCGATTGTCTAGATACTGTGGGACCTCAACGTCTCACAACCCTATGGTCCTTCACGGCTTGTTACAGGGATAGCTTTATTTTACTTACATTTTACGAAAGCCAACATACGAAGAAAGTGATTGCAAAGGATGTTGCGGGACAGGAGATGAAATGTTGTGACAATGTGTGATGTGAAAAAGTGGTGATATTTTCTATTTAAATCGTTTAATAAATTTTAATTAATTAAGAAGAGAACGTGTGATTTCTAATACCAAACTAATGGTATTTTATCTGAAACACTGTGATGTTTTGGTTAATAATGCGATTATATTCGAACTCGAATATATTTGTAGACTAGAACAATATTTGTTGTTATTTTCATATAAGTGAAAAATTTAGGGATCTGTCCATTGTACCGGTGAAATTTCCGAGCGTCAGTCTTGAGTGTGAGAAGTGCCTATGTGCTCGGCAACGACTTGGCTTAAGAATTTATCTATCTACAAGAGTACTACATGACTCTAACCTTTTCCATACCAACTTTCCCATTATAAATAGAGACGTTCCATTGACTTATACGGTATTATTAACATATGAACTACATATGCAGAAACATATGACTTATTAGTTTAAGTGCCAAGAGTTGGTAGGACATGTTTATTTTCACACGTAATATCACAGACTAAAGATATATAGGGAGAAACGTACAGTTTCAAAGCGACATATCTCGCTCATAGCATGGAAAACGTTAAAGGAATGTCAGTCACATATACATGAAGCTGATTTGGTTGTTCATTATGAAAATAAAACTTTACTATTTCGTAAACAGTTGAAAATTATCCCTGTGTCCCATTTCATATCCTGATAGCACAAAAGAATAAGAAAATACTTATTCCCAAGAGTTCTATCTTCTGCTTGCCACCTGCTTTCACGCTGGTTCCTTGTTTGTTTTTCGACCTTGAAGATGGGAGTGATATTTTTCTCAGAAATCCTGGTTAACTTTCTACGGACTATACGGCCTTATATCCCAGAAGACAGGACTTTTCGTAACCACGGCTGTGAGAATCTCAACTCCTAAATACTTCCTACATTTCTATATTTTATGCAGCTTACAGCTACTCCTCAGATACAACGTTTCTACGCAACGGTAAACTACGTAATCCCGCTTCATATACAAATATTGGAAGTCAAAGAAAGGGACGAACAGATCGGATATTGAGTAGAGTTCCACTGCGCCCACATTATCCAAACTATGAAGTTGATACTGAATAAAGAGGTCCCATCTTCTGGGATGTGACGCAGTGTAGTCATTGACGTTTCGAAAGAACTTCATGGAGTCATATCCCAGAAGTGGAACTCTTCATTATCACTCTGAGAGTCTCAAATACAGCTTCGGCGATGAAACATTTCTCCTAACAATAACCACTCGATGGATGTCGATTAAATTTTGTATTTTTGTCTATACTAACTTTATCGGATGAATTTAATACATCGATCAAATATAAATCCAACTTTACACAGAACTCAAGTCGAACATTATCTTTCTTGTCACATAAATATTATATAGATTACATTATATAAAGTGCAGAATTATTTTCTGTAGTTAGTATTTAGCGAAATAAACGGAAAAATATTATCTGATTTTATGTAATGTGATTAGCTTTGCAACAATATATTTGTAGCAGCAATAAATATCGAGCCAACATAAATCCTACTTCACATAAAACTTAAATCGAAATTTATCGATTTTCTCTAAAATCAGATTTCCAACCATACATATCATGGGCCTACATGACAAAACATAAAATATGTTAACATATAAAAAATGTAATGTGAAACATATTCTAGGCAATAAATGCTTGACTAATTACAGTGAACACAGTTGTTGGCTTTATGATAAGCGATAAGCTTTGCATCAATAAATCCGTATCATCAAGAAATAAATAAGGACAGTGCAGATGTGCATGACAACCTCACAGAGAAGCTAAAGTGTAATACGAATAAAAGAACATGAACAGCTGAGAGGAAGAAATCTTGTTTTTTGCTTTCGAGGTCCCGTATTTCTGCTTTCTACGGAATTCAGAACTCAATGGCAAGCAGTATTTATATAAAGACAATGAAATTGTTCCCTGAATGTCATTTAGACAACCACAAGGACTCATATTCAAGCCGGTATGATAATCTTATGCAGAAACTGAATCCGGCGGTTTCGATATCAGAATTATTGACGATTTACCTGTATATGAGATTAGCAGATCTACGCAACGGCCGTGAAATTTCGCTGTCATTATGCCGATGTACGTAAAATGAAAGGTAAGACTGTTTAAGTGTATAAACTAAGAGCAGATAAAGGGATGTGTAACAAAGTAGATGGCATACATGTCTACACACAACTGGCACTTCGTCCACAATTTGTGCGCTACTGAGGAATGGAAAGTATCATCCAGTTTGCCAAATATTGTCCTGGAATCTCTTTCACATTAGTGCAAACGTCAAGAGCCAAGATCTTTTTAAGGTCCAAATTCTTTCAGTAATTATCAAGTAATATCAATAATAAATCACTTCTAAGAACTTGTTTTGAATCAATTTTAACATTTGTTAAACATGGAGACGGAGACCTGCAGAACACAATTGCAGACAATACTACATGCCATGGAGACCTTCTGAAAAGGATTGGCTGACTCCTGAAGCTGGAGCTGTATAAACTTTAATCGCCTAAAGAACAATGATAATGCTAAGATGTAGAGTAAACATAATTTAGGGACATGAAACCATGTGTAGTACAGTTCAGCATAATCCCATGTTTGTCAGTGAGTTATTCAAAATTGCCAAATACACTATGATTGCTGTTGGTTTCTTTAAATATGCTATGTAAAATGTTTTAGTAATACAGCGCCATAACGGTTAATGTGGTCGTTTCGATGCCAACTGCTGATCGCGACGCTGTCCTTCTGACAAGAGGGACGCCATCTGAGGACGTCACTAGACGTTGTCATGGTTACACAGCGCCGTTTGATGCCACTCATCCTTCTGAATGTCGCTGAATTTCCCATTTGTTTTTCCATTCTGTCATGCTGCCACATTATATAATGGCTTTAATGGTGATTATCATGCATCGCGTATGTTTTGCATCTAGATAGGTCGGCCAAGGTATTAAGGAGAAGAAGCGTGTGACGCAATCAATATACTAACTTTCAAGAAGAACATCTGTAACGCATTTCTGTTGACAGCTAAAATGTAATATGATTGCGACTAGATATTTTCAGAAAATTTGCAAATATTTCGCTTATTTTGTACATCACTCCAAGTTTTCGGTGACAATTCAGAGAACGTATATTAAGACAGATTACTTTCACACCCTTCCCAGGTCATTTTAACAGTTATCTGCCTTTCAATATCAATTTATGCCAGTGGAAAAAAATTATATACATAATTCAAGCATCAAACCTCAATGTTGGGTCTGTGTGCAAAATATAAGTGTTCAATATAATTAGGGTTATAGCTTTCATGAGTAAAGTTAGAATTGAGTGAGCAAAACATAAGACTTAAAACAGGCAAATTAGCCCTATATTTTCATTTTTTAGACCATTCCAAAGAATCTGGCCAAATCTGATATCACTATCTACTTCACAGACGCCTATATATCAGTGATTCTGAACCGCAGGGCCGCGGCCCGGTACCGGGCCATGGCATCAATTATACCGGGCTCTCGTCTTATAGAAAAAAAGAATTTACCGGGCCGCGGTCTGACAACGGTTTGAGAACCACTGCTGTAAATAAAAGTGCTCTTTCCCTTACACTCATCCCCTTTACAGAAGGATCAGCGTTCCCGGCACGTTCATAGCCACCAATTACGTGGCGCGGGGCCTTCGTTGAAACCTGATAATTACTCAGACTGTTAAAAAAAATGTTCTTTCGTTAAACTCGAATGTCCATTACCCTATCTACAAAGCCTGCCACTTGACTCTATCCTGAGCCAGCTGAATCCAGTCCAAAATTTCAATTACTATGTATCTAAGATTCATTTTAATATTATTCTCCAATTATGGTCGCCGTAAATATCCCATAGCTGCCACCACTATTAAGCTGTGGTCTGTTATCCTACCCCAACTGCTATAATTTGTTGTAGGCCTTGGGGTCCTGATACGTGTACTATGTTGCGTCATCCACTCTGGAAATCGGTACCCGCTTAATGGACCAGTATGGACTGGGGGGTCCTTCAAGGAGGAGGTTCAGGTTTCGTGAGGGAATCTTAGTTCCACATGTTCCTATCGGGAGCGTTCCCGGTTCTCCGGTGGTTGGGGTTCTAGGGAGTAAACTGGGGGACTTGTTCCCTACGTGTATTTACACTGTCTGCATACTCATTTCGGGTTGAGCTAAGTTACATAATTTCATGTTTGTCTAGCCTTAGCTCTGTGCCCTATAAGCATCTCAGGTCGTCAGCAATACGACGTGGATTCACTGCAGAGGAGTGTGACGCCGAAGTGCTACAACCCGTGTCCCATGACCCTCTTTGTGAGGTCTTCCGTCTGCAGTGCGAGAGCTACGGCGTCGGTAGGCTATCAAGCATAGCCTGACTTAGCAACTGATCAATGTTTGACTTTCGATTGCCCATAGTCACCGACCAAAGGGTTATATACTTGTAACAGAAGACTCCTGCGAGTCAGCATTTCTTCGTACCTTCAATAAACTGTAACAACTACTACACCTGTCGCAACTGCTGCTTCAGCGTTTCCAAGCGAGACTTGCCACACGTTAGGCAAGATGTGTTTCTTTACCAGCTTTCTTGGTTGAGACAGTTCAAGCCTTCGAGCCCTGGTGTTTCAAATTTCCGTTCGTTAGGCCATTAAATTCTCCCATCATGGATGAGACTCCCAAAAGGTTCCTTCCTTTCAGGTTTTCAACAAAAATTTTGTATTTCTTTTACCCCATGCATAGAAAATATTCTCCTTGATTTAATTACCTTAATATTTAGTAAAGAGTACGCCTATAAATTACAGAGCACCAATGTGATTTTCTACATTCTCCTGTAACTCCTCTTTTTTACTTCAAATAGCATCTCTAGGACTCTGCTCTATGGGGTCAATTAAGAGATCTTTGAAAGAAATGAATATGGCCCTGCAGAATATATATTTAGCTTTCAGTCTCATAGCAGTAACTAATAAACCACTGGGGACAGAATTTAAAATTTTGTCTGTAAGTGGTCAACAAATTTACCTAAAATTTCTGTAACATTTTTTATACAATCACAATCATGTTATCATTGGAAAGCTTTGAGGTTACACCTCACAAATTTGAGGTAGCTGGAATCTTAAATTAGTGGAAATCGTGCACAGGAATTGGTCATTACAATAGTAATTATTAATTTATGGTTCCTATTAGCCTCATCACATAGAGTGGAGCATACTATCATGTAGTATGAGTGGCTACATATGGGTTTTGTATTGATGACTCAATTTATTGACCTCTTACAGTCATAGTTACAAATAACTACAACACTACCACTGATTTGAACACTTACAAATCACTAGACGCTAAGTCTTCTGCAGCCTGTAGTGTCTTCACTAGACGTTTCCTGGTAATGGACTTTAACAGAGGAGATTCTTTGGCTTCACGCGCTCAAGCCCCCTCTTCACAACTCTCGTACAGAACTAAGTGGGTTGCCGCCATTGTCATAATTTCCGCAAAGGGAAAGTTACATCTCCCAAGCATCCACAATGCAGAGGCAAAATGTATATAACTTAAAAACCACGAAGCTCTATAAAGAATATTCTAAGGTTGGGACATGCAAGGAACTGCTTAGTCTGCAGTGACATGAGAATATTACCAAAGCCTGTGGTTTCTCTAAAATGTCACAGGCCCAAATAATTATTTTGACAACTAACTATGTTTCAGAAAGATTGCATTAGCAATGGCACTTAACTTTCTGGCTGTCAAATCAGAAAACAACAAATTTCATAGGATCGATGGGTTGAATTATAGAAAAAAAATTAATTCCATACTAATTTATCCTTGATTATTTAATAATGCAATATAAACAGCTTAGATTATGTAGAATTAAATATGGATGAATATGAATGCTGATGGGGAGGCAAAGAGAATGAAGTACTTGTGGTCTTTTTGAGGTATTTAACTGATATTTGTTTGAAGGCATTTTAACACTGTTAAACACCTGCAGATGTGAAATGATATAATTTATTACAATAAAATGTTCCTTCACATATATCAATGGTTTGGACAGTAACAAAAAATACTGAAGCCACTAAATTTATTTTCTAGGGAGTTACATTCTTGAGATAAAGGATGGTGTGACTGTATTAAAAAGGAATTACTTTTAAATATTTCAGATAGAATTTCAGATTACACAAATTGCAGGAACATGCTGAATGCACAGGGATTTGAAATGTAGTTCATAACGTAAAGAAGACAGAGAGAGCCAATATGAATCAACCAAAGGAGTTTTTAACGAAGACAGACAGGGAACTGGATTAATCTTTAAAGTTCATGATTACAATACAGTACAATGCAATACCACAAAACACTGCTGTCATCACTACTACCAACACTGCCATGGCCACTGTCACTTGTCTGTCCTATTTCATGTTCATATTTTATTGACAAATATTTGTATCAAATGCTCCTGTGGGGTATTCTCACATTTCCAGATATGAACATAATTCCTCTCCACATCATGTTCCTTAACTCTTCATGAATTCTGAAGTTTCTTATCACTTTAAACCATTTTCTGGTTTCTGTGGCCCCTGTCCACTGTATAACTCTGGTTCTCAGCGTTTAACCACATCACACACTAAAGCAGACATTACGGTCACCATCAGAAAGGAGGAAGAAGTCCAAGTCTAAGTCTTGTTCTGACTGATGCTCAGCCAGTCTGTCTTGGTATGAAGCCCCTCTTGGGGGTCATTTTGCGGCAGGAGGAAGTGTCCAGATATGTAAGTCTCGTAGTGGGAGTATGGGGTGGCAGGGTGGAGCTGCCCAACAGTTAAGAAGAGCTGGAGGTAAACAGGTGCAGCCAGATTTTGCTCAGTTTGTATCCGTCTTCATGGTTGAAGCTGTGGGAGAATCTAATTATTTCGATGGCTTCCTTAATTATGTGGGGATGGTAGCTGTGGATGTTTCTGAGGGTTTCACTTTCATTAAAATTGATGTGTCTCGTCTTAGTGGAGTGTACAGCTTCCACTGTTTTTTGGTTCACTAGTCTCATGCCTCTGATATGTTCAAATATTCTACTGGGGATGACACACCCAGTTTAACCAAGGTACACTGCCACAGGTGCAGAAATCTTGGTTCCTCTTCATTGGATGGCACCCTATCCCACGACTTCCGCACGATCTGCTTCCTCCCACGACCTCCTTCACCCTGCAGATGCTGACTGCAATGTATGAGAAAACACTGCAACAGCTTCAAAAGACATGGCCAAAGCCAAAATGGCAAAATTACACATAATTCTGCTTCTCTTCCAGCTTCCGTCCTGGCTCCAAATGTTTAGATGTAGGTCCTAGGTATATTGACTATTTATTATGGCTGATTGTTATATCAACATGATTGTGCAACTGCTAATTTTGGACATGGTCCTTAGATACTTGTATATAAACTCTGCCTGTTGAGGCCAATTTCTGTAATGTTACCTTCAACCTGCATTATGTGCCTTATATCTTGTGCTTTGTCTTGTTTTTCATATCAATCTTGCTCAATGTTCTAAACACCTGCTTCCTAAGCTCTTTATGTCTCTTTTCTTTTCTAATTTCTTCTTTCTCCAATTCCTTTTTATGTTCCTCCATTCGTTTCTTAGTGGCTGCCTTCTGCTGTTTCTGTTTGTGACTATATGATACCTTCAGCATTTTCATAAGTGACGCCACCTGCAGGATTAATAATGAAAAAGAATAATAGCAGCATTAGTAATGCACTGGTTTACTTCGATAATGTGATATCAGTTTATATGTCAAATAAAATTCAGTGCAACCTCCCTAGCCCACAAAATATGGTGGGAAGGTTAGTGTGAACATGGTGAAAAACCAGATTGGCAAGGAAAAAGTACATGATAACCAACATGTTTCCATTCATTGCATTTCTATTAGAGGATATTATGCACAATTAAAAATACACTTGAAGGCATGACAACTGAATAGATGGGGGGCGAACATGTGAGCAATCTTAAATCAATGACTATAAAGAAAAATTGAGCAGCTGGTAAGAAGGACATGGCAGCAGCCTCTAGCTGACTGACCTAAGTAATATCTGGATTTATGAGGTTCAGAGTAGTGAGGTTTTACAAGTACACTTGGTTGTCGACTTACGACCGACTTCTGTTCTCACTGACAGGTCATAAGTTGATCTGGTTGTATGTCGGCCAAATATTTATTAACAGTATTTTTTAACCTTTCTAATCTTTTTATCATCCTTATAATTTATTTTTACAAACTTTTACATTTTAATCATGTTTTATTTTTCATTTTTTTTTGTGGTCGCAAGTCGCATAGGTCATAAGTCGATGACCAAGTGTATTATATTTCATTTAGGCATCAACTCTACTGTAATTTTACATACGTAACAAAAGCTAAATAATACATGCTTAATACAGGGCTCATTTTAATTTCAATGAGCTTTGTTAGTAATACCGACAAAATGAAAATGATAAAAACACTGAATTTAGAAAATGAATGAATAAAATACAGAGAGCTAAAATAGAATTCAATGATCATGACTTAGCAGAGTTTGCCTGCTAATAATCTGACGAGAATGAATGTTATTACCATTTTTAACATATAACTCTAACTGTACATGTAACTGGAGTTAATGTTATGACCAAATGGTATAAATGTGAAACATGAAAATTGTACTAACTCTTTGTTCATGTGGTTCTCTAATAACAGCAATTCTTCCTGACTCAAGTATTTTTTTTCCATTTCTTGTCCTGTTTTTGGGCTTGTCTTTATATGGCAGCTCCTTCTGCAAAGTCCTCGGAATAACCAATGGTTGGAACACCTTTGGCTGCCGTTCAATTGGCTATATTAACAAGATTTAAGCATGAATAAATAGTTCTCAAATTTCAAAGTGCATATGCATTAGGATGAATTCTATGCAGCTGATAAACATGAACATCTACAATATACTGTATCACTATAATATAAATGTTGGGTGTCATATCTGATCAACAAAATACATAACTGTGACTTAACAATGAATTACTTATAAAATCAGAATTTAAATAGTTGTGAAATTGAATTGGGTAATTTTCTAGGTCAACTTTAAAAACAGTTTCTAGTATGTCAGAAAACCATAGAAACAAACGATTCTGGGAAATCAACTGTTTTCTTTCAACATTATAGAAATGTAGTTGATCTATTGTATTTGATGGTTAGGTGTAACTAGTTAAGGGCTGGACAACTATAGTTAAATTCTTGACAGGGTAGGGACTTTTCTCTTTGTCAAGATGTCCAGACTGCCTCTGGGGTACATTCAGCTTTCTATTTAATGGACGAGAGAAGCTAATTCCCCAGGTAATAAAGCAATCAGAGTATCCAGTCATGACTGAATCAAACATTTGGATATTTTGTATCTGTAATTATAACAATAACCAGTCATCTACAAATGGAAAAGCTTGCTACCCATAAGTAATATATGTATTTCTGACAATGGATAACGTCCTATGTAATGGTAAAAATCAGAAAATGAAGTTTAACAAACAATAATGCATACTGTATACAGACTGTCCATGGCTGGATCACTACGCATTCCTTTCTCTCTCTTAAGCTGTCCTACTGTCTTCATTCCACGCCACTGGTTCTTCTGTTCAGCAGGCAATAACAGTGATGTTAATGGATTGTAAAGCTTAGGGACTTCCACTCGGTACCAGGTTCGGCAGAACACAATGTCTATAATATAACCACACATTAATCAAGTTTCAAGTTCCTTTCTAGAAGAGTTCATATACTGAAGTGAAGTGAAATGCCTGAACTTTCAACTAAAATATCCTGGCATGTACAACATAAGATGAACATAAAAAACAGAATACATCTTAACTGTTTGAATCTCTCTGCCACAACAAACTATTAAATATAAATGCCCACACAATGAAGTCTTCGCAGAGCTGTGTCAATATGGAATGAAAATTAGATGTTCCAGAAACTGTTACTGTGACTGAAAAATATTTATTTATTTTATTTTATTTCATTCTTACATGGCTGATCTCTCAACAATTTAACTGCATTCAGAACCCATAATGTCAGACTTCATATATCCTTTACACACTTTATACAGTACAGTATTAATGACGCTTCATACGCATGCATAAAGTAATATATTTTTTTTTTTCATTGGCGCTACAGCCCTCATTTGGGCCTAGGCCTACCTCCGTGAAACTCTCTGTTTCACTTCGGTTTACTAGATCTTACACATACAGTAGGACTCCTTGGGCGGGTGAGCAATTCGTCGCAAGGCCTCTACCTGTACACAAACACAGAAAAACGCACACAAACATCCATGAGCTGAGTGGGATTTGAACCCACAATCCCGGCTTCCAAGCAAGCGAAGACAGTGCATGCCTTAGACCGCTCGGTTACTGTGACCGGCATAAAGTAATATTATTGTCATTCATATTGAAATCATTAAAATATGGAACTGAAGTTATATTTGGATATGTAGTGACAAAATCTATATAATCAAATAGAACCAGAAGCCAGTATAAAGTAATACCATTTTAATTAATATTATGGTCTTCTGGAGTGATGCTGTTGCCCGGATGACAGAGGCAGTAGGTTTCTCTGAAACACTGCAAGCTCTCTACCAAGCTATATGGCATCACATCACACAAGAATATATTCTTCAAAATTGCCAAAATGGTATTATATGTGGGAGATAGCAAATTACAAGAAAGAAACAGTAGAGGAATAAGAGTACTATATCTGGCGTGGAAGGGGCACGTGGTAGGGTAGTCAGTTGAGACTATGCTACAAGTCGGAAGGTCGCAGGTTCAAGTCCCGATGAGGTCATTGGATTTTTTCAATTGACCTAATCCTTCCAGCAGCACTATGGCCCTGGGGTTGATTCAGCCTCTAACAGAAATGAGTACCAGGAATATTCTTGGAATGTTCTTGGGGGTAAAGCACGGCCAGTGCGTAGGGCCGACAACCTTGCCGCCATCTATGAGAAGATTGTCTAGAAAATGTGGGAACCTCAACATCTCACAACCCTATGGGCCTCCACAGCCTGTTACAGGGATACCTTTACTTATTTTTTACTTATATCTGCTGTGGAAGAAAGACGTCCTATCACTAACTGAAGTCTGTCATTTACCAGTTTCTTCATAGAATTGATATAATATAAAATGCTCTGTAATATATCATGTACTTTATAATTCTGTCTCTTCTGAGACACATTTTTTAAATCAGACTTACCACTGAGCAAGATTTTATCCTCAAATGTTGCCCGGAATGCCCCTTCTGGTTTGGATACAGCTTTCTTTATCTGCCCCCTTATACCTGACACTGTTCTCAGTTTTGCTCCCTCAAATTTTGCGACTTCCAAAGTAGAGCTGAACATATCACGTATAAATGCAGTCTTCTTATAAATTTTGAATGGTGAGCCAATCAATTTGAGTTTCTTCATAATTTGTGTCGATTTATCCAATTCTACCACTGACCCTGTGGCTGCAATCCTAAAGTCAGGCTGAAACATGAGGAGAGATGCTCATAGAAGAAATTGAAATGAATACAGGAAAGCTGTAGAACATTACAATGAACTCCAAGACTTCAATATTTTCTACCTTGTAAATTTACATCAATTTACCTGTCTTGTTGCCACATCCTGTACTGCTAAGAAACCAGTGTTTTGTGGTGTTATGGGACCCCAGAAGTGGGCCATACATGTTACATGCTCTGGTGTATATTTCAGCATTCTGCAGAAAGGAGTTTCAGTTAAAACATGAGTTCTGAGGTCCTCACAATGGTGAGCATTAAGACTGTAGTCTTCTGGTATGCGAAACCACATAATGTAGACAAGTACTAGGGTTTAGGAGGAATACACTTCCTCTATCTTCATGCTAAAGGGAAATGTTCTAGTAAAAAATATTGGAGAGAAAATACACTGCTTATTCCTACAGTAATTATTGTTTTCTATTACAGAAATTATTTCCAAAAAGTTTAGAATGATGATGGTCTTTTTCAGCTGGCATGCATGCCAGGAAACAATGGCAGCACAGTGGAAAACTGGTGAAGTTTCACATCTGCCAGTGAATCATACAAGTATATTTCAATCATGAGGCTAAAACCTTGCATGAAAGTGCTGGCAAATATGTCTTTTTAGGGGGGGAAAAAAATGTTAATTCATGAAGTAAGGCAAAATCCTGTATGTAAATTGAAATGTACAGCCCCTTTATTTCTGGAAATGACTTCCATCTCATGCTGTAACAAAACTTTAAATTAGAAGTTTTCCGTCACATAGTAAATATGAAATCACAGATGCATACATACACACCAACTTTTATTACCTCAGAATTTGTACAGTTATGACAAGAAATCGTGTTCTGTTGAGAGTCATATCATATCATATCATATACTGCATATACATTATCAGGTCATGGAATGTGTTTGAAATTTCTGAGGGTGACCACTTTCCAATCTCTCTTCTTATACCTTCCTGCTTCAAACTGTTTGAAACAATACCTGTGTCTGAGATTATCTTCCAATTTGGAATAGATGGGTAACGTCTGAAACCGCCGCCATCCGAGGGAGATGATTAATGGGTCTCGTGTCTTCAGAATCTTCTTATACCACCGATGTTTCTTAATACGCACCTGCAGACAATTTTAATAATGTTTTATCTATTCTGACTATAACACAGAACTTCATATGAAACTTACCAACAAATCACTATACCTGCACAAAACCAACATTCTCTTCTCCTGCCAGAAGTCCACCCAGGATCAAAGGGTATGTAGGATCAAAATTTGTTATAATTTCACAAGGTACTTCCTCAACTTCAACTCTCACATACATTCCAGGTCGGAAGCCTTCCAACTGAATTCGTATACTATCATCCAAACCTTCAAATTCATTCCTGTTCAACTGAAAATATTAGGATAATATTACAATCCAACATTTAAAGTAACAAACAAAAGTATATGTTGTAACCCAACACTTTACATATGCATCATTTGTTATTCTGAATACGGTACGTCATTAGCCTCTACTGGTGACATAAATCTGCTGTTGCAAGCATAGCTACACCTCCCAGAGTCTGAAATCACTTCTCCTTGTATTTCATGAAGTTTAAGTGGAACATTTTGCAGCGCTGTAACTTTGTAACATTGTTTCTTGGTGGGACAAATCACAGTTCACCCACTATCATGTTTAAATCCTAGTACAGCAGAAGTTATTAATTAAAAACTATACATGTTTGTGTGCTTTCTGCAAATATATATTCCCACTACCCAAAATTTATGAGATATACCAAAGAGTCACAGCATTATCATGTTTGTATGTTTTAACAGAAAAATTTTTAACAACTAGATGTCACAGAACCACCATATTAAAATTCAAATGCCTATCTACACTTGTGCACTAATTATTGCTCTCAAGCAGAAAAGTAAACACAAATTGTGAACAATTACCTTCTTCTTTTGCTTTCTACACAAAAATAGTCAAAACGAAAATGGTGTACTTTCAGAGATCAATTGCCACACAAAATGCCAAGTGGCATAAATATTTCTGCATTCTGCTGCAGCATGTTTGTGGTTGCATTTGAATCTACTGGTTAAAACTTTTCAACCGACAGCAGTCTTTTGGGCAAGAATCAATACTATGTGCAATTACTTATTTAAGAGTGCAGTGTAGCACATGGGATATGGTTGCTTTCCCAATCAGTATCACAACACACAATGCTAGTAGCTAAAACTTCAAAACAGGAATAGCATAAAAATTAAGGAATTATATATTCATGTACTGTAATTAAAAATGATTATGAATGAAGATCTGGAGCTGGGATAGCTCAGTTGGTACAGTGACAGGATGGATGACTGGGGTTCAATTCCCTGCAGGGGCAAACATTTTTTCTGTACTCTGCAGTGTCCAGGCTGGCTCTGGGGCCCACAAAGCCTCCTATCTAATTGGTACTGGGATAAAGCCAGGGCGTGAAGCTGACCACTCACCTCCATCTAGTGCTAAGGTCAAGAATGGTGGAGCTATACTGCCACTTCTCCATATGTCTTCATGCACTGATGTTTAATTAATTAAGCCCATGGATAACTGTACCTTTTACCTTTACCTGGGAATGAGAATTCTAATCACCAAAAAAAAAAAAAAACCTCTACTGTAGTACTCGGATGTCACATAAAAAGCATTAGCCACCATACATACTGACAAGAATCTGGAGTAAACTGCACAGTTTCTTTGGGTGTTCTCCAGTAGGTCTAAAGCAGGAAACAGGAACGTTAGCATGTCTTAACACACAATACTGACATGTCACTTATGGTTCAACTGGTACCTGAGCCTGCTGGTCCACTTCTTGCTTCAGCTCATCGTAGTATGTTTTTCCTCCATCTTTGTCATCATATTCTGCATCAAATTTCTCCTTCAGTTTTCGTTTCTTCTCCTGTAATTCGTCTTTCGTCATTTCTTTGCAGTTACCTTCTGCAAAATACGTATAATACAGTCAACTATAGCAAGCTGAAGCCGTGATTCAAAGGTAACGGTGGGTGGCAGATACTGCAAGACTTGAACATGGCATCATAAAGTCACTAAGGTAAGCAACTACACGAAACAGTTTATACTGCCCCAATAAATTTGTTGCAAAAGCCATGACAGAAAGCAAGTTATAAGTAGTGAAGTTGCAAGTATCACAGCAGCAACACACATATCACGTTACAAAGACAGAAATTGGTTTCCCTTACATTACACTATACATACCCCTGTATCACAATCACTGCTTAAAATAAAAGTAGTATATTTCAGAGAGTCCTATACTTTGTCACGTTTCTGGACAAGACTTTTTCTGGGGGGGATTAAGTATGATTTGACTTTCACATAGAGAAGGGTTATACTGGTCCAATATGAAACAAAATTAAATCTTCTGTCCAATTTTCAGTGTGTAATCTTAAACACCAAATTTCACCTAAATTCATTATGCTTTCCATACATGCAGAGCTGGAGAGAGAGAGAGATGGATGGATGGACACTCCCCCCTATATGAGGAAGCTGAATGTGTCCCTCTTTTTATTTGTGGGTGTTTTGCTTTGATGTAATGGAACTAATGCATTTATAAAAAGAGATACCATATTATTTACACAGAGAACTTAAGAAAATGAAACAATTAATATAACTGGATAAATATGTTATATCCATTCTGTACCATTTCTTTACCTTCGAGAGTTCCTTTTACGTTCTCTTTCTTGCTTGTATGTTTTTCCCCTGTTTCCAAGTCTTCAAAATCTCCAAAAACTTCCTCACTACTATCATCATCCAACTGCAAAAGCTCTGCTGCATCCTCTGACTCTTTCCACTTTCCAGTTACAAAGCAGTCACGAATAACTTCACGCACCTTAAGAAACACACAGAACCACGTCATGACATTTCACTCAGAAATGAATTCCAAATGTGATTCTCTGAATATCATTGTACCAAAACGGCAAATTTATAACCTTAACCAATTCCACAGTCCAGTGTCTTTCTTGAGAAGCTAATAGTTGCTCAACTGGTCAAGGATTTACTCACTTCTTATAACAGAAACAAGAGTTAACCATAGTAGTCGATCATAACCCACTATAATCTAATCCACTTTCACATCAGAGTTCTTTAAGACAAATTTTAATATTATCCCCCATCTAAGCCCATATCTCTCGATGGTTTCTTCCTTTCCCAGTTTTGTACTAAAATTCCCTATGCAGTTACCATCTCCCTCATACATGCTACATGTCCCAATTATTTCACCCCTCTTGATTTATTGATGCTAATGTCTGAAGAATGCAGATAAAAAAATGCCATCAACACTCTACTCTCATGGCACAACATAAACATACTATTTTGACTCGTTTTTTACTTCTACTGAATGTGAACTAAATTATAGATTGACATTACTTATCCTCCTTTTTTCATCTATTTACTGGTCATTAATTTGACAGAAATGAATGATTTACATGACAATGAATGTGACAACGGAAACTTATTGTAAATTAAAATTTCCCTTATACTAATTGACTCTGTTTAGGCTTTCCTCTGTATGTTCACAGCCAATGTCCTGAACTTCAGAAGTATTTCTAAGACACACACACACAATAATCTTAGGATTACTATGCATGACAAATTCAAACAGAAACAATCTCACAGTGTATGATCCACTGTTATGGATTCAGTTTCTCTTCTATTATAGCAGTTTAAATTACAAATCAATTTATTTAACTTGCCTTGATTCTGTTGTTATAGTATAGCAAACCTTAATTTAATATTTCTTTTTGAGACCAGTGGATCTGAATTATAAGCCAAGGAAAATCTTAAATGGTGGTCATTTAACACTAAGGTTACTGACGTGAAATCATTGAAATTTAATGTAAAAAAAAAAAGTAACGCTATCCCTGTAAGAGGCCACGAAGGCCCATAGGGTTGTGAAACATTGAGGAACTCACATTATCTAGACAGTTGGCTCAAAGATGGCGGTAAGGTTGTCAGCCTTACATGCCGGCCGCGCTCTATTCCCCAGGACTAACCGCTTCAGCTATGGCACGGCCTTAAATGTGAACTTACTTTACAGTCTGTCCAGTCGCGGACCAACTTCACAGCAAATCGAGCACAGTCAACACCATTCATCGCATCTCTTTCCTCCTGCTGATGCTGCTGCTTTCTCCTGACTACTTGGAATAGGCCTCCTACATCTTTGTTTTCATCACTGTCACTTCCAAGTTCCTCTTCTGTCTCTTCTCTTTCAAACTTATTATAATTACCTTATAGCAGAATCAAAATTCATAGAAATAAATCCTTTTTCATCCTCTTTAATATTTGCATCCTGATGTATATATTACTAGAGGTACTTGCATGGTCATCAACACAACAATCATTCTGTTTTATTACACATACCACCACATTTATAGCAATAGAATCATCTTTAGGTTGTTTACATAAGGGTACAACATTGTTATTGAATTGTTTTGATTAAAATGGATCAATATTAGTAAAACATAGTAAAATGTAGATATTTTTGTTTAAATTTGGGTACATAACCTGTAAATATCTTACAATATGTTAACAAATTTAAGATTAAATAAAATAAAGTTGTATAAATTGAATGAAATTAACAAAACTACATCCTAAGCACACAAGTCATACAACATATACAGAATATATGAACTAAAACTCAGAAAATAAATCATTGCAATAACCAGAAAACCACACTGAAGTGGAACATCAAAACGTCTGAAGATGATCATATAGATTGAAACATGCAGTAGCATGAGTAATAAAACAGAATATTAACACGCATATATCAGTTTTATTTACCGACTGCTGTGCTGATGGCCACACATGTACCTCCTCTTCATCCACCACACCATACATACAGCACTTTAATCACACATAGCAACTGAAAGCTCATAGTCCTTAATAACAGTCTCTCAACCTATGGGAACAGATTAAGGACTATGAAATACAGAGAAAATTAGATCATGATTACCTTGGCAGTCTGTATTCTTTAACAAGTACTGTTAAGAGGAATGAAATGGGATGCGCACTTAACATATGACAAATGCATATACAATTTTGATCAAGAAACCTCAAGGAGAGGAAAAGACTTAGGTATGGACAAGAGGATGATAATATAACATCTTAGAGAAATGGTTGTTATACATGTGGACTGCTTTCACATGGCTAAGAACAGGGTACAATGGTGGATTTCATTAGAAGAGCAATGGACCTTCAAATTCTATAAAGACAGGAATTTCTTGAATGACTAGGTAACCATCAATTTTCAAGGAAAATCCAGTAAAATGGAGTTTATTAACTAGTAAGCCTTATTAAATTAAAACTACGGGAAACACCCTGATGCATCCGTTAAAGTTTACTGGCATATTAACTAATAAGCATCTTCTCTGTTATCTTTCATGTTTTTTTTTCCTTCATGATATAACAATGTCTGTGCTGTTGACAGCAATAATACAGTGAGAACACTTTAATTACTGGTGACTGGAATCTCCATTTAATGCTCCCTGGTTTAAGATTTTCTCTTATTTAATGAGTCCAATTCAATAATCGCAGTGTTTAAACCTCCTCCTCCATATAACATTTTTCTGAACCCACTGAACCCCAATATAACCTTAAATAGGGATTCACTGTATTTTGATTCTCATTATAGTCTTCTCGACAATGCATCATCCTGAAACATTCCAAATTATCACTCTGGATAAACACACTGCCCACCAGTTCTGGGTCAAGTTAAGGAACAGTACTGTCAGATGGTTTACACAGGAATGTTAAAACTATTGTAATTTCTGATTGATCTGAAATAAAGCTAATGGTTACAATTATGACCAGTCAGAACAGTGTATATATAACCATGGTGATTCCAAATGATCACTCATCCAGGTCAGACAGCAAATGCTGCTGCCATTGGAATATGGTGCTCTCAGCTGGTCACGCACCCAAGCACTGACTTTTACCAAAATACTGCTGCTGACTGGACTTCTTTATCTTTCTGGTGGTCCTCTCTCTGCCCTTTCAGTGTATTAATAGCTTATTCAGGGAGAAGTCTTCTTTCCTGTTCATTAAATTATAATGGAACTTGATCCTGAAAACCTCTCTAACAATGTGATGAACATATTGTCACGTGTAAGTTTTGAGGTTTTCACGGCGATGACTATGAAGAAAGTCTTCTGGGATCTGGCGCCGTGTAGCTCCAGCTACAGCTATCTGTATTCGCATGCAACTCAACTACCCTGAAGATGGAGGCGATATGTTCCTCCAAAACGTCGGTTAAAACCAAGAATACACGGCACCAGATCCCAGAAGACGACTTTCTTCATATTGTCACGTGTTTGGAATCCGGAAGGTTTCTTTTTTTATTATTGCCAGTGGGGTGGGACTAAGTCCCTTGTACTACGGCCACTTCTGGCCTATTGTACCAGCCCCAGATGATAGGTGAGGGTGATTGTGGAACAATTGGTGGAATGAAGATTGGGAGTGGAAACCGAAGTACTCTGAGAAAACCTGCCCCATCACCACTTTGTCCACCACAAATCCCACTTGACCAGACTCGGGATTGAACCCGGGCCGCCATGGTGGAAAGCAAGCGACTAACCGCTTGAGCTACAGCGCGGCCCTTGCGGAAGGGTTACTTCCATGGTAATTCTAACAGTGTCTCCAAGGTTACAACAAACTGTTAGAAGCGTTACGTAACAACGGAAAATAATGCATTTCCTAAGCAACGGTTTGTTGAACCAGCCGGAATAATGCACTTCTGGGGTAACGAGCGTAGGGCACGTGAAACTGGACAGTTGAAGATGGTGTTCTCTATGCGGTTCGAAAAACCCGTATATAATGGGTTGAAGGCATTCGCCAAGACAGTTGAGATCCAGCCATGGTCAGAGACAGTTCGAAGATTGCCACCGCAGAATGCAGTTGAAGTGATATTAACTGTACTTGAGTGTGTAAGAGTGAGTGTTCAATAAATATCCGCTAAATCTGAGAACCATGTGAAGTTATTTGTTGCGTAAGACAGCCAACACGTGACAATATAATAGCCAGAAGCCTCTGGAATGCATATGGACTGCTATCAACAACTCTAGTCTCATATTTTGATTCTGTTAGTGATTATAAGATGCGACTCATTTTCAGATAAACAAGTCATCCATGGCAAGTCAACAGCATACAGTCACTGCACTTACCATACACAAGCTTCCATAAGTTCTGTGTTGTCGACTGTCGCTCCAAGAATGCATCTGCAGCCTTCAGTGCTAAGTTTGTTTTCCACTGAACAGCCGATTCCTCTGGTCCTTCTTCATCACTAATGCCAGAGGTATCAGAATCAACATCTTGAGCAGTATCAGAGTCTCTATCACTTTCTCTTTCATTGGAACTAAGCAATTCATTATCCCCTTCCTTTAAAGATTTCACACTATTTTCATCAACCTCTTCATCACTACAACTTTCGTCTGAAGAGAAATTGTTTAATGTAAATGTTGGTTCACATTTCCATTTATGTGACAAACTTGTATCTTGATCTTCTTGTTTCAATGCCACTGATTCAGTTTTAGCGTCTTTAACATGTGAAATGTCTTCTTTCTTATTTTCTGTGTGTTTCTTATTCATCTCCAGTCTTAACAACAAATCAGAAACTTTACCATGAATCTGACGGTCTTGATCAGTCCCAGTATCATGATAGCTGTAACTGTGAACAGAAAATTGCCCTAATATCAATATAAGTTCAGCCCTAAAGATTAGAATGTACAGCATTTTGACTTTTATTTTATATGGGTGTGAAAATTTGCCTCTCACTCTAAGAAAAGAACACAGATTGAAGGTGTTTACGATTAAAGTGCTGAGAATATCTGGATCTAAAAGAGGAGAAGTGACAGAAGAAGAGAGAAAGTTACATACTGAAGAGTTTCATAAATTGTACTCTTCTCCTAATATTATCGGAGAGATTAAATTTAGTAGGAGGAAGTACCTGTGGTGAAAATGAGAACTGAATAAGTTTTCAATTGAAAACAGCCTGAGAAGAACCCACATTGGTGAAACAAGAGAAGAGGTGAGAATAATATTAATCCCAGATGTGCCAGCCTTAATTTCTACAGTGCCAATCCACCAACTTAGGTTGTCAAAGAGTCTGTCTTTTATGTGTAAATAATATATAAGGACTCCCTAGGAACTTTCAGTGACAAGAATTCGCTCCCAAACATCTGTCTAAATTGCAGGAACAGAAAACTAGCTTTTAACATCTCCAGATCAGAAATTGAAAGGTCAACATTTATAAAGTTATTTACCTCTCACATTGGTTTTCTTTCACGTCAGTGGTTAATTTCAGTTTCTTCGCAGGTTCTTCATCAGAAGATACATCATCATGTACACTGCCATGTTCCTCACATATATCCTCCTTGTTTCCAGAGTTATCTACATCTACATCCATCACATTTAATAATTTGTACTCGGCTTCTGCAACAGTACTCTTTAGCTTCCGTTTCTTAATTTCATTTTTGCCGTACAGGTTAGTTTTATCCTGATTACAGTCTTCAGCTATATGCAAAGCATCTCTGTATTTTGTATCTGAAGTGTCAGACTTTCTTTTTGTGTCAACTTCATCATGACTGTTACTCCCTGCAATACTGTCAATATATGAATCACTGTCACTTTCCAGTTCATCTTCAGATTTATCACTTAAATTCTCTTCGTCAGAGTCATTTTCTATTGTTTCTTCATGTTTGTCCTCATTGCTTGAACTCTCAGGAAACACCACTCTCCTCCTAATTCTGCCCGAGTCACTGATAAGCTCTTCAGACAATCCCACAGATTTCCTGAATAAAAACAAAAACTTACATTGAAAAGGTATACTATGACTTAGCGTAAAGTAGACTGAATGTTGACAGGGCCTCAGTTTGTGCACATGTCAAAGATATGCATCTTTCTACGTGCCAGAAACTTGTTTCATTATTTCAATCATTGGATTAAACAGTAGCAAAGATGTGGAATTAACAGGGAAAATTTGTGACAATGACCACAACAGGACATGCTGCAGCTGGTTTTCCAAGGGTGTCTCCCTTCTTGAGAAGCCAAATTTTCCCTACGAGATCTCTCACTGCAAAATGGCCAAATATAGGAAATCAGCAATGCATTTTTTGTGATCATACTCACATACCAAAAAATCTAAAAGATCTATTTCAAAAATCACATGTGTACTACACAATATACCACATGACACTATTTGAAGGATGACTGAAAGCCTTAACCATTTACTTGAAGTGTGCCTCCAAGTGATCACTCAAGCCTTGAGCATGTTTTATAAGTTAAATTTTACAAAAAAAAAAAAAATAATTTATTGTAAGCACTTAGAGGTCTTTTATTCTTTGGACTACTTCATACTAAATTATGCATAGGCTACAACAAGATTAACATACAAAACAATCATATGAAAACAGTGTGCCCAAATGTTGCATATCTGCCTGCTTCACCTCTAAAAGCTATCAGGCTCAAATCCTGGCCAACAGGCCAGCTGCTCTTAGTGTTTTATATGGTTAACTTTACTCCTTCCAGGAAAATGATGTGATTGTATCTTAAAGACTATGACATCCTAGTGATTAAAAAAAAAATTAATACCACACAACCAAAAGCGACATTAAATACAATCAGCATAAATTGCTCCAAAAATCAAACACTGGATGTTTATGATTACCTTACTCTAACCAACAAAAATGTAGCATTTCATGAGAGAATTAATATTTATTCTTTACATGTAAACTACACATGAATCATATCATTAAATATGAAGTCAAGTAATAGTGAAAAGTATGTGCCATAGCTCAGGTGGTTAATCACTGACTTCCAAACATGGTGGCCCAGGTTTGAGACCAGGTCAGGTCATGTGGGATTTGTGGACAAATTGGCACTGGGGCATGTTTCCTCTGCCAATTCTCATCCTACCAGCTGCTCCACACTCATCTATCATCTGGGGCTGGTACAATAGGCCAGTTAGTGGCCAACGTACCAAATGGACTCAGTCTAACCCCACCCCAAGAAACTACAACTAAGTAACAGAGAATACTGTTATTCTGAACACCATGAACATGATAGTGGGAACTATCACCTGTCTGGCACTAACCACTGAACAAACATGGAGATCAGGCATTTTAGTGCTAAAATTCAATTGTATTTATCATTAAATTTCAGAGCATTTCCACTTTGCATTTTTCCTCCACTGTGTGCAGTTCCTTGAAACTGTCTACAACATCAAGAATATACAGTATCTAAATTAAGAGTAGAACAGTTCCCACAAGCTATTGTAGCCAAGTTTCTTGCAGTAGCACAGCACGTGCCGAGCATACCATAACAGCTCATGCAAACTCTTCACTTAGATACCTTGTAAATTACCCCTCTTATTACCACTAAAACAAAGAAAATATACAAACACATCTCACTATTACGATTGAGTATGCACATACAAGATGCTAGCACCACGGATTCACTACTACCTATAAGAAATGAGACGTGTACACTGTGAAGTGCTGCATCTCTGCAAGTAAATGCAATTACATGCTGGTATGTATTGAAAATGGGGAGCATTTCCCCTCTTACTTTGTACCTGTTACATGAATCACCACATAATTATGTTGTATTCACATATTTTGATTTANTCCATCCCCACCATTATCCCGGATAATCGAGAGTTGAGTGTATTTTGATTTTCTGATTCATCCAGACTCAAACATTTTAATAATTCAGTTTTGAAGGTGGAAATATTACCTATACACTAAATTGATTTAACCCTTTCTAAGATCTACACCAAAGGCCGCACCATAGCTCAAGCGGTTAATCGCTGGCTTCCCACTGCAGCAGCCCGGGTTCGATCTAGGGTCTGGTCAAGTGGGATTTGTGATGGACAAAGTGGTNCAGAGTTCTGCATTCTTTGGTCCCGTTGAGCTAACACAATATTCTATGGTAGGGGTGAAAGAATGCAAGGATTTGTGGAAAGTTTAAAGGACAGATACACCGCCCCAGTTAGTCTCTTTGTATCGATCTTCAAGTGCGTTAGCAAAATGTCAGGGTGTAAAAGGAAGCGTGTTGTGTTAAGTATTCAACAGAAAAAGGAAAATGCCGCGAAAAAGTAAACGACAATATTAAATTTTTTTAAGTGTTAAGTGTGAATATTCGTAAAAAGTGTTGGATGTTGTTGAAGACTGTGATTGAAATAACTAATTCATACTTCAGTGTAATATGAAAAAAAGTATTAAATAGGCCATGAGATGACATAAAAATGAGGTTGAATAAATTTAAATACAGGTAGGCCTATAGTATTATGAAGGTACAATATTACAGTACTACTTTTAATAAAATTTGTCTTAACCGGATTTTCGATTAATCGTGATTTCCATCCCCACCATTATCCCGGATAATCGAGAGTTGAGTGTATTTTGATTTACTGATTCATCCAGACTCAAACATTTTAATAATTCAGTTTTGAAGGTGGAAATATTACCTATACACTAAATTGATTTAACCCTTTCTAAGATCTACACCAAAGGCCGCACCATAGCTCAAGCGGTTAATCGCTGGCTTCCCACTGCAGCAGCCCGGGTTCGATCTCGGGTCTAGTCAAGTGGGATTTGTGGTGGACAAAGTGGCGTTGGGGCAGGTTTTCTCAGAGTACTTCGGTTTCCCCTGCCAATCTTCATTCCACCAGTTGCTCCACAATCACCCTCACGTGTCATCTGGGGCTGGTACAATAGGTTAGAAGTGGCCACAGTACAAGGGACTGAGTCCCACCCCACTAGCAATAAAAAAAAAAAAGATACACCAGAATATAGTTAGCTTGTAACATACAAATAATGTACAAAGAACATTTGCACTGACTGGGTTGACAGCATCAGAATACATTGAATATCAATCAGAAATTAGATATATAAGGACTAGTCCAATAGGTAACTCAAAATATGTAGCACACTACACTTACTCAGCAACATCTGATGCCACAATTGGTGCAGTGCCAGTAAATAGCTGAAGCTCACTTTGAGCCATTTTCACATCCAGAGTCTCCTGCGTATCCAGAAGAGAGCTCACAAGTGCCTTCTCTGGCCGTGAGTCACTTGTTTCCTAAACAGTATATTAATTTATCTTCACTTACAAGGAAACAGTTGACAGCTGTTGTTAACATGGTACAATCATAGCAATTTCTGAGACTAAAGCTGTATAGATCTTAAAAGGAATCTCCACAACTTAGTCTGACTTGAACATACTTTTCGTGACGTGACTTTTCCTATCTGACCTAATACTGAATTGAAATGAAAAGGAGGTAAATGAAGTACTCAATTAGCATCTTACAGAATATCTTTCTTGCCAATGTAAATAGCATATGCTTATTTTTATTTTAAATGCTCATTTTATTTGCAGTCATAATTTACTTACAACATAAATGTCTAACTAGCAATATACTAGACCTACCACACCCTATCAACACTAACTTTATGGCGAGTACAACAAATGTCTGTAATCTAACTTCAAGCAAGACTTGTATCAGTTATCTCTAGAAAGAAAACACAAAATATTCTACTATGCGAAAGGGTGTTACAATATACAGCTGGATTCATTCAAATACACAACACAGATTCTAAAGGCTTCTGACGATGGTGTATAACACTCAGAATTACTAGACTTTTGAACTTTTTCCATTGTTCAGTATTCCAGAGTCTAGAAAATATAAAGTTTCAGAAACTGGACCTGTTTCCATCTTCAGGTGAGTGGAGAAGACACATACTCAGTAGGGTCCCTCAGAAAGAGGTAACCTCAATTGCTGTACAACCCCTGTTAGATTCACACATCTATTTACTATACAGATGGTGCTAGCAGTAGATACTACATGTCTTCACATTTTTCCCTGTTTCTTTGCATTGGTGTTCATGCATTTGGTTTTGTCGACTAGGTTTGTAGCAAAGATTTCTACCTCCTTTTCTATCCTAGTTCCACATCTGTGCGTGCTCTATCACAACTTTTATTGTATGTTTTCTTGTTATATCCAACCAAATTAGCCTGGTTTCAGGTGAGTAAATAGTTGTGTGAATCTGACAGGGGTTGTCCAATGATCAAGGTTAGCTCTTTCTAAGGGACACAACTGAGTACATGTCTTCCCCCTTCACCTGAAGACGGAAAGAGATCCAGTTCCTGAAACGCTGTGTTTTCTAGTCTCTAGAATACCAGATGATGGAAAAAGTCCACATAATGTATAATTTTCCGTGGAAGGACGACCAGAACAAGGTTTGTCATCAATTGTCATTTCACCATTTTTGAAACGGGAAAACCACTCAAACAGTTGAGTTTTCCCCATAGCATCGTCCTTGTACGCCGTTTTTAACATTTCAAGAGTTTCTGTCCCACTTTTCC